AAGAATCCCAGCAAATCCCAGCAGCTCTGAGAGTGGAATATCCCAAGACAACCTCAACTAAGGCCAATCTACTAGGAAACTTAAAAGGCAAAATAACAAGTTAAATACTTAATACCATTCAAGTAGGTTGTTTGGTTGGGATTGTGTGGGGTGAGGTTTTTTTTGTTTGTTTTGGTTTTTTGGTGTTTTTTTGTTTGTTTGTTTGTTTTAAATACTGCTATATTTTAGGTTTGCTACTATGGATAGCACAGCAGTTAATACACCACCTTTGTTTACATTATTTTGGAAGTGCAACCTCTCCTCCTGTTCCTGCCACACTCTTCCAGTTCTAGAGGTCTTCAAATTTGAAGTTAAAGTTATTTCAAAGGACAAACCTCAGTCCTGCAGTACTTCAACAGTAAACTGGTATTCTATTATGGAAACAGTTGTCACAGAAAACTGATGCATTTCAAAGAAAGAAAAATCTCTAGGGCAAGCAAGCTGCGGTGTTAAAGTCACATTTGCTTCACAGATACCAATACGTTTCAATGCTTTGAAGGTAACTCTTAAAGCACATGAATGAACTTGTTTAATTTTGCTAGAGCAGTTTTGTGGGAATTCAATTTTTGGTTTAGATGACAATAGGAACTAACAGTTGAGAACAAAAATCATTTGCACAAAAAGGCATCAGAAGTTGCAGATCTGCAGTAAAAAGAGACAGAACCTCATATGTATTAAGGACAGCACTTCTTGCTTAACAAACACAATTACTACTAAATACATTGTACTCAAGGGTAAAGTTGGTTTTCTCTGTTCTGAACCTTGGTTTTAATATTACTGTGTATATACTCTGTCCACAATCTCACAATGTATGAAAGAAAATGGAAGGTTTAAAAGTGTTTGGGTTTTTTTTGAAAGGTCTTTAACTCAAGACTAACAAGCTAAAAAAGTAGATGCTATTGTGTGCTCCTGATGTAAAACCTTTCATAAAAACAAAAATAAGTCTCAGAAGATGAAGCACTGATATTAAAAGAAAGTTTTAAAAATTACTTGCTAAACTGGTGGAAAACCCTTTCCCCAAATATCCTACAGGCTGTCCACTTCAAACATTGTAACACGCTACCTGGTCATGTACACACAAAGAAAAACCCAAAATGATCTTAGGTGGTCATTAGCCACTACATTATAGTTTATTATGAACATATGTGCTAACATCACAAGGCTATACAACTATATTCATTATTTCCAAGGGGCATAATTTCTGTTGAGGAATCCAGCTGATTTATCAGATTTAGCTGGGACGCAAGACTGAACAGTTGACAAAAGACTAGAAGAGACAGACTTGATCATAAGGATGACTAGCATTGAAACAAAGAGACTTTTACATCTACTGTATTAACTCTGTAAGCAATAATTTAAATTAAAATTGCTGATAGTTTTGTAGGATGGACAAAACAGGATTTTTTTTCCTCCTCCCCAAATGCCATTGTGGTAAGAGTAACTTGCTGCTGTGTTGATACACCAGTGTCCCATTTTTTCCCATCCACTTGAATCCATCTCTGGAACATAGCTTTATGTACAAGCCAAAGTAACCAACCCTGCTTAGGGCTACCATGAAGGTAAGTTCATCCCAGGTGTCCGTATCTGCTCCTCTGTTATGCAGATTTTGAACACAACACCTATACGCAGGAAGAACTTCCGTAGCACAGCTCGAAGCTCAGGAATCAGGTCAAATTGCATGATTTCGCACAAGTATGGATAATATGTTGAAGCATGTGCCCTAAACTATCAAAGAAGAATGAAAAAGAACATTATTCTCTATTACTATAGGAAAGTGCAGAGGTCTTCCACATTCATGGCTACACCAACTTGGTAAAACACAAGGTCTCACCCAATCAAAGGCCCCCCTGGATAGCCAAAGGGCCATCAAGCCCAGCGTCTGTCTTCCACAACAGCCTTAGCAGATGGCTACAGGAAACCATACACAGAGCATGCATTTGGCATTACTTCCCTAAAATAGTGTTAGACTATTTTGTGGCTCAGGGATTTCTCAGGGTAGCGGTGGTATCAGGGACTACTTGTAGAAACACCCTCCTCTAGTGTGAATTTGTCCAGTTGCTTCTCCAGCCTCTTCAAAATATCATCCACAATACATAACAAAGCCTTCCACAGCTGAACCCTCAGGTGAAGCAGTATCTCCATTATGTGTGTGTTTGGCTTTTTTCCCCTCCAGTGACTTGCAATCTCCAAAATTCTCATTCAGTCTCTTCCAGTATAACAATTATTTACCTCTTTCCATGCTGGTAATGCCTTTATGCACCTCTCATTTTTATTTCTTTTTTGGATAAAAGATAACTGAGTAAAAGTCTAACCTACATACAGTTCCATGTATGGGAGCCAGTCTATATCCCTTACTCCTGGTACACACTCTCAGCCCTTTTCCAGCTCCATCACACCCCTTTTGGTAAGGGGAAGCAGAACTGCAAACAATATTCAAGATGCAAATCTGTCACAAATTTACACAAGAAGTAGTATGTTTTGTCCTCTATTCCCTTCCTAATAATGCTCAGCATTAGTTATGGGGAAAGTTCACCACAGAACTTTCAGAATAAAAAGATACTTGGATTTTGTACTAAGGAATGGCCAAGTTGCCATTATCTACAAAAAGTTAAGACTATTCTCACAACACACCATAATGACAGGGACATCATTGATTACTACTACATGGAGAAGCCAAGCCACCACTACTACCAATTTCTTAAAATATCAGTAAACTGCTATTGCATGGATGCAGTCTGATTTTTATAACGTAGAATGCTTGCAAAAAATGCAGATGTAATGACTGCTGTATTTCAAGGAGAGTACAGACTATGCAAGCAAACTAGCTACCTTGCAATACAGATGATAATAAAGACTGAATTCAACAGAGCCTGTTCTTACCTTTTCATCGCTGATTTTTAGTGTTTTTGTTAAAAGCAACAGCAGGAGATTGGTCCAAGCTTCTCTGTGGCTTTCTGAGTTCACGGTAATAAAATACGCCAGGGCTTCACTGCATACACTAAAGAGATGACAGTTCAGACAAACCATAAAGAAAACCCCTAAAAAGTTTTTATAACATGCACTGTTTGTCTTTTCATAGTGTATTTTGTTCTCAAGCAAGATGCACTTCCATGGGAAAGTTTTCAATCACATGTAAGAATTTTAATTAACAAATTTGTCTGGATGTTACAGTAGTTGTTACAGATAACTGAACTGAAATAGTTTTCATCTTGTCAGCAAAGAACCATGGAGTTAGAGGTGGAAGAGTCTGATTTTCCTCATAAACATTCTGTAATTGAAGTGGTATCACCTTCAACCTGCAAACATTATTTCCTGATCCTTACATTAGGACAGCTTAGGCAACTGCAACATGAAAGAGTTCTCCCTCCAAATCTAGACTGCTTTAGTAAAGATCTGCAGAGCTCAGCATCACAGATTAGAGAGGGATTACTATTGTATTAATAAATTTTTGGTCCTCGCTGTAGACTGTCAACACAAGGTACAAACTGTACCACCTACTGTGGCTTTTTCGGGGCACTTTTAATTAAAGAAGGAATGAAACCTCCCCTTTTTACACACTAAAAAGGATTAGTATGTCCATAGACGCTCATAAATCAGAATGCTACTGAAATCCACTGCATTAGGGCCAACAGAAAGTTTAATAGTTCTTCACATTTGATTAGAGATTAGTACTCTGAACTTTCATGTACCAACAACTCACTTTTCAAATAAAGGGGACTCCAATACCTTTTTATATTCACCTAGCATAATTTTCTACATTTACCTAAGTTCCAGGTTTACAGCTGCTTATACTGCACTCTGGTTAGATTACTGTATCCTATTATACCTCTGAATATCCTTATGTACTCAGATATGAAAAGTATTCATACACCACCACTTCTGTAAAGAAAAGCTTATGTCAGGCAAGAAGGTGCTTCATTTATTCCAGGTAGAGTGCTTCCTTATTGCTAAATTAACTTTTAATAAAGAGTGGTCATATATCTATAAATACTTATATTATATACTTCATATACTTTGCACGCTCTGCTGAGCAACCTAAACCACGGCTGCACTGTACTAGCTGAAAACAGAATGCATCAGAACCAAGCTGATACTCTTACCTAAGCAGTCGTCGTTGTATAGCATCCCAGGAGTCCTGGCGGTTTTCATCCACATACATTCGAAAGAGTATTCTCAAGCAACAAGCCAAGCTGCTGGTCTCTTGTTTTAATAGATTGGGTTTTGATTTACCCTTGAACCCTAGAAATCAGTTACACAGAGGGAGAGAGGGAACATTCACATTTGTAGTTAACTAGCCAAGAGGTAAATTTTATCAACAATACCTCCACTAGTGAACAGTAATGATTTCTTGTCCAGATAGTATTTCCTCCTCCTTGATTTTGATTGAGATCTAATCTATTTATAAAGATATTTAACTACAGTAGTACCAACTGTGTAGCTCTAGTTTAATCAAAAAAGCAGGTAACTTAGCAAACAGAATTATTCAAGTCATCACGAAGGAGACAAGTAATAAAAGCCTGCAACACTGTCAGATTAACTGTAGAGATTATTGCAATAGTATACTTTTGTATCTCGATAGCTAAAGCTATAAGTGGACATCAGTATTTTTATCAAACTAAAAATAAAAAACCTCACCTGCTCTCCATAACACAGTTCGCTGTTCATAATTTGAATTAAAGGCTTTTGAAAATGAATGAGACTCTTGCAGACAATCTAGTAACTTAAACAGGTGATGTGAAGACATATATTTATACATTCCTTGGTCTTCTGTGTCAATGTGGATATCTGCGTCCAACGCATCTCTCTAAAGGCAAGGAGGGAGGAAGAGAGAGAGAGAGAGGAGTGTCAATAACATATTCTTTTTATATAAGCTTAAGAGACTTTGATATTTCACAGACCATATACCATGCACTCCAGATTCCATTTTTAGGTACAAGTGAAATATTAACACAATGCAACACAGCAGAGTGATCCTGTCAAATATCAGAGTTGTACTCTTTTTTCAGTAGGATATTTTAAAAGAGAGAAGTTATGATCTATCCTAGTTATCAATAAGGAAAAAAAAAACAAAACAAAACCAAAAAATGAACAACAAGGGAAGAACCTCTTTTATCAAGGCATAAAAAAGTCATAGCAATACAATATAGAATATTTCCTCTCCTCTAGGAGCTGACTTGAGTAGGCCTGCTGAATTCTGAAAAACTTCAAAATGAACCACAAAAATAGTGCAAGTTTAAATGTTGCATAGCGTAGAAATTCCCCATCTTTGGCTAATGTCAAGTTTCATTAAAATTGGTCAATATTTTCAGCTAATTTGATTAGGAATTTTACTAAACCATCCCCAAAACACTACCTGAATGCACTAGCCCAAACTTCTAGCTTAGGGCTTTATTAACTTAGCCAAGCAAGAGCTACCCTGCACTATTCCCTAGAAGCAGAATTTTCAGGGTCAAGGACCTCTCCGAGGCACATAATGAGTTAAATCTTGACCGTTAACCTTGCTAAAGTTCAATTTCTGCATCTCCTCCTTTGTAAACACCTAGAGGCTCAGCAAAGCCTCAACTGTGGCTAAATGAAGACACTCAGGCTAAACAACAGAAAAGAATACTCTCCCCAAACCAAACAAAAATATTCTTGATGAGTGTGTATTCATTATAAAAACAATGATAATACATTATATTAGTAACAAAAATATAATTATAATAATCCAACAGGCAGACTGCCAGGAAACACTGGAGGCAGGCAAAAAAAAAATTAAAAAAAAAAATCACTGCTTAAGAGTAATGACACACACATTCAGATTAGTGCTAGAGTAGAGTTAGAAAAAGGAAGAGACTGTATTTTGTAAACACACGTCAGAGCATTCAATAGTCTATACTTTACTGCCACAACAAGGTTATAAATAAGTCTGATGGCACCTGAGCTGCAGCCATGTGCTCAGCATCTTCCTTCTTGCTTGTTGCTGGATAGAACACTATATTATCAATGGTCTGTATCAATTCCAGCTGTACCACACACTTTATAAGGAGGCCAGCAAATAGTTTCTGATCTAATGAAAGGGAATAACACATGTTTCAGAAGCAATTTTTGACATTCACATACAACAGGCTAGCAAAACACTACATTACCATTAGCATTTTGATATTTAGTGATGCTGTAAATTATCTTATAAATAGAAAATTTCTCTGCAAGGCATAAACACAAGTTGTAAAGATGTACCCCAAGTTTAAGTGCCCAAAAACTTTCTCTACAGAAGTAGAGAAGTGGACTAAGAGTGGCTATAAAAGTTTATTAAATGAACTTCTATGTTTTCCTTACTTGTATAAGGTCCACCTTTCCAACTCTCATCTGTTGGATTTGAAAACTGACTTTGTCCTCTTTCTGAAGCATTTTTATCCATGCTGCTTAAAGACTGGTGATCTAGGTCTAAATCCTAGAAGAAAATGCAGAACAATTTTAGCAATCCAAAACACTAACTCCCAACCAGCTATCAGTTTTCAGATGACTTCACTAATCTTAAGATTCAAAGGTTTCCTGCATCCATTCTTTCTATCTTATTTTACAGACACCAAATACAAGCTAATGTCAATTCCATTGTTTATTGTCAAGTGTATTTACTACAATAAAATATTTCAAAAGCTAACCTAACACAAAACCCTTCAACTTAGTTTGTTGCACTGAATTAACTCTTACCAAGTGTTTTTCAGCTGAATCTTCCTCCATTCCTGCAGGCCTCCATGTCAGCAAGCTTGGGGGGGGCAAAAAAAAAAGTAAATATTGTTGCTCTGGAAACAGGTATTAGTATGGGAATTAAATTTATCAACTTACACATGAGGAATAGTAGTTTTGAAGATTTCTAGCATACAATTGCATGTCTGGCCCCAGACCTCAGGGCTGAATTTCTGTCCGTTTAGTATTACCAGGTTTTCTAGGCAGTTTGTACCTGATCGAGCCAACTGCTCATTATCTGCAAAAGATAAAAAAATATTTATCAGCTTCTACAATATCAATGACAAATGAAGCATTCTCTATTACTGCTCCATTAAACATTTTTACCAATATTGTGAAATGCGTGGTACCTTAGCTTAAAGCATCCTTGTAAGTATATTACAATAATATCAAGCTTAGGAACCTACTGAATAAAAAATAGTGTTTAAAAATAGACTTCATGAGATTGAAATCCAAACAGAGAAGACAAAGGACAGGAAAGAAGCAGAAAGGAAGGATACAGTGAGACTAAAGAAGGAAAAGCACCAATTCGAAACTTATGATTTCCTGCATGGCAGTCTCCTCACATTCCACGCTAGCAATGCGCAGGATTTCAGGTGTTAAAAGTTGGAGCCCGAAAGAAAACACATTCTTTAGAAAGTTGCACTAGATGGTTGGGGGGGGGTGGAGGAGAAAAAAAGAAAAAAAAAGTCAGAATGCGTGTGTGTGTGTGTAAGCAAATGAGGTATTTTATCCATGCAGCCAAATGGAGAGGCTGTTGGCAGAAGAATAAACAACTCTTTAAAAGCCTTTGCTCTGTCATAATAGCACCATAAACACATTAACAGAAGAGCTGCCTAACTCATTAAATAGAATGATGTTCGAATATTTAAGATACTACATCCATCTATTACATAACATACTGTCTTAATGGTCGTTTTTATTTTCCCAAAATTCAGTTAATTTTCCCCTTCTTAAGTAATGAACATTTAAAAAAATACATGAATCAAAAGATACAAGTAAATAAGCTACCTTGTTTTACACACCAGTGTAACTGTGCAAGTATGTCAGGAAGAAGGATCTCATTTAAAGCTTCATAAAATTGCGTAAATACATCACAGATTGCGTAAAGTGCATGGTTGCATGTAGTGGTCATCCATTCAGATTTCTATGAGAAAAAATGAAAAGTCTTTGTTTTCAGGTGGCTTCTATGATGACAGCACTTGGCTTATGCATGGCTATTCAACAAAGGACATGGCTTCCGAGCAGAGGAGTAAAATTTTGATAGAACTAAAAAGTCTCACTACTGCACGTATCTTGTCAGAAGCATTTAGTTGGCCACATGAATGCTGTTCAGAAAACTACAGTTTTCACAAAGTTTGAATAATCTCCTTGAAAATATTCAGACAGAAGAGACAAGATAGGTCAACTGATACTATGACAAATTTCATACATACCACAGAATATAGCATAATACAACAACATACCATTATGGTATTATATATAACATTATTGTTTGTTTGTTTTTGTTTTGTTTTGGTTTGTTTGTTTGTTTTTAAGAACTCTAATGCTTGTTTGCTTTTTGTTTTTACCTCTGTTTGTTGTTCAGGGAGTTTCATATTATCAAAAATCCGAAACACAATTCTGAACAGATCTTGCCACCAGTGCTTTTCAAAGGTATGACCATAACTCTTCATTATTTCAAACATCACTGTTAAGCCTCTATAAACAAACCCAAACAAATAAAGGAAAAGATGTTAAAATGTGCACCTGTGATCTCTTCAACTAACCAAATTAAAAAAAAAAAAAAAAGCTTTATTACCTTGTTCGAACATCTAATTTGCAACGATTGATGATACAAGAAAGTTCAAATAAAATGGGAAACCATCCTCTGACCCATACTCTGTCCCCAGGAGCAACATTCATGTCATCACTTGTGTATTCTCTCAATACCTTGGAGATAGGCAGGAAAAAATAAGAAAAAAAGCAAGCCTCAGAAATCTTTAAATCTGAGATTTAGATACTACTAGTGGCACAGACAGACTTGACAAGTTAGCTTAGTTTCTACTGTAACACTCAAATCCTGTAAAATATAAGTATAGAACTGAAACAGAACTCTCTGCGAAAATACTGGAAAAAATACATGGAAAATAAATACTTAAATCCATTTTACTTAAGTCCTGCTAAAGGCTTTACAAGTTACAGAGGTTTGGATTTTAGGAAGCAAGTGTCACTGTTAAATATAGGTAATAAGGAAATCTAAGTTTGGCATAAACCTGTTCTAGACTTTTCTGGCATATTGAAAACAGCATGCACATCTTGCAATAGTAACATGCAACTGCAATCTAACTCCAGGCTCTTTCCAGCAAAGTGATTATTATATTAAGTATTCACACAATAGACTGATGTAGCAAAATACGCATGTTTGTAATCAATTTAGGCATAATTAAGAACAAGTAGTATTGTTTTCCAAGGCATCCTAACACTATAAAAAATACTTTTCATTCAGTTATTTCCAATTTGGACTGTTGAGACTTAAATTTTTTTAGTTAGTTGTAGTTTACTGCTTACACAATACAAAAATGACTCCTAATGCTGAATAAGCTTTTAATACAAACACTTCCTGCTGGGAGACGTTTGAATCTGAAAGCTCTTTCTTAGTTACAAGATTAGTCTCAGTTTAACAGTAGAAGATAGAATAAGAATACAGAAGGGTAAAAATTAAAAGAAAATACCTGTGGTCTTTCTGAAACATATTTTGCACAATACCGAATAAGTCTAATAGCTTCCATGCTGGTGTCCGGAAATGCAACATTACAGGCAAACTCAGAAAGACATTTTACTGCATCCTGAAATGAATCAATTGCTGCTGGAAAATGCTGTTGAAAAATATTTGCTGTGAAGAGGAAACAAATACACTTTTTAAAATGTACTGATATTGGAATCCAGAGATAAACTGGCATTGATCTAGATATATCAGACATGGTATACCACTACTGAATGGACAAACATGAACGGACCAGATCTTCTAGATTAAATATGCTTCTCTGTCTTACCTCACATTCTTCCCCATCCCACCCCACCACCCAAATTTGTCAGCATCACATTTTCTCAGGTTGGATAATTACCAATTTTATCATCTAGGATTATTTCATGGCTTCTTATATGGTTCAGTTTCCTCCCACAGCCTATGCAACCCAAAGCTCTTAAAATCTTTTGAAAAATAATAGGAGTAAAGCTTGATGTTAGCTTCCCTGCTGTGAATGAAGCTACCTAGATTTACGCAAATTATCTAAGCCTGTAATTACTCATATTGTGTAGCAAGAGAGGAAAAAGCAGTTAGATTTCAGACTTAAGGGACAGACTAAATACAAAACAAATCCAATGCGTACAAGCTTTTGAACAAACTACAACTCCCAAGATCTATGTAATTCAAGTTAGCAAAAAAAGTTTTGTTACTATTTGCATTTATTAATTCTGTATTTTTCCCCATGCTACTTAACGGGAAGAGGATAGTTTCAGGACATATAAGAAAGCTATGATCAATATTGGAGGTCCGTTTCAAGAATATTTGAGTTGGCTGTCTTCCTTTGAAAGTGGCAGCAGTGTGTTGTTCAAACATACTGCCAGAGCGGGTAGGCTGTATGAATCAAACTCTACAAGCAGTCACATATCAGCATCATAAGCTTTATGATCCCCACCATACGATACTTAATTGGCATGGAAGTTTGTGAAATGCATTCCTTAATCCAAAACAACTTATTGCAACAGATGGGGTAACATACAAACTTACTGAACCTATTCCAAACTTCCAAAGTTCAATAGCAAGATATCTGTATCTAGTTTTTCCTGTCCATAGCAATCAGGAGACTTAACGGGTAAGACCTAGCTACAGAGTTCAAACAGTCTGACTGCAAGATCTTGTGTTTATTTACCTGGAAATACACAAGTCTTATTCAGATGGACCTTTTAAACCTGAATCACAGCAGCTAAGCTAATTTGAGTACTCACATCTAACAAGCATTACTTACTAACTATATGTGCTGTAGTCTGAAAGGCCAGCTCCACAATATTCCCATCATGGTCTGATGCCGCTTGATGAAAGACTGCAAAGATATTTTTCCAGCCTGAACGAATATTACCAGCTTGAGAGTTCACCATCTGAGCAATACAGCGTATTACCATGTCCCGAATAGTTGGAGATCTTTAAAAAAAAAAAAAAGGGAAAGTAAGACTTTCACAAGTGGCACAATTTTACACTGGCACAAAGTAACTGTGCCACTTCCATGTACAAGACAATCTAACCCACACCAAGTAACAACTTTAAGCAGGATTAAAGCAAGCTAACACAGAGTTTGCAGTGCATCACACCTGTTTTTCTTCATAATATGCTCAAAAGGCCTTAGGAAGTCTTTCTGGAAGCGGAAGTTGGCTAACTCTCCCTTCTCAAGAAATTTCATTGACAGCTGCCTTAATGAGTCTACTGCAAAGATGGCGACATCTTCATTAGGGTTACATCCAACCTAGAAGAAAAGCGTATTTTCAAACATATACCAGCTAAAGTATTACTTATGAGTAACAAATTAATCATTTAAGTTTCATGTCAGTCCACTAAAAATCACTAGCACATTCTATTTTTCAGATATTTAGAAAACAGGAGGTTACTTTCAGAGAGAGGGCTTTATCAGTCATTTGATCCAACTGAACAGACCCATGGATTTTGTATACAACAAGTGCAGAACTATAATAGCCAGCTAGACACTAAAAAACTCAATAATCTCAGGTTAAAACCCTTGCAGCCAAACATGCTCCAGTTTCCTAACGAAAATAACTTTGTTGTTCCAGGATCATCTGTATATATTTTAGAGGAAAACTAACTTGGCATTTGATCAGAAGGATAAGACAATGACAAAGAAAAATTACAAATACAAAATCATATAATGAAGTGATTAAAGATAGTTCCCATAAACATTTCCATTTGTATTTATACACTTCAGATTTTTAAATAGGTGCTTCCTTTAGGCACCTTTAATAGATTTTTTTTTTTTTTAAACATCCCAACCTACAGCAGTAAGAACATTAAAAAAAGCTGATTAAAGAAGTCCTGCTATTCATGTATGTTCTGTAACTTGATTTTAAAAATACCTTATTGAAGTGATCTCCAATCACGTGCCAAATCCTTGACCACTGCAGTCTAATGCGATTCATGTTGTAATACGATATCTCCACTATCTTCTGCAGGCTGAACATGCGTGGATGGTGTGGGGAAGCCAGCTCATCCATGGAAACAGCACACAGCCATCGAACAAAGTCAACTGAAGATTAAAACACACTACTGTAAGTTCAGGATGTTACATTGCAAGAGTTCCTGTAACCCACCAAATGGTCAGCATACATACCTATTGCATTTCCATCCAGCCTAGTCGATCCTGTAAATATCCTATGGAACAAATAAATGAGTTGCAGTTTTACCTGCATACCCACAAGAGTCATTCACATCTTAGCGCTGTAGGCAAGTGTCAGCACATCTCCTGGAGGTACTTTACAATCCTCCATGCCATGAACTCTGCAACTGTTTTATTCTTGCTCCTTGGCAGCAGTTCATGTCCTTCTCCTAGTCTAAGCATTCTTTTCCCTGCTGCAAGTCACAGTCTACTATGCTCCCGCCCCACTGCAAGAAACAAGCACAGGCTCACAATTTTATCCAGGGCAAGTAGTTCTGGAACACTCATTTGGGTGACAGTATGTTAAGTTTCATAGGGAGGGTAAAAAGACATTAAGAAAGCTTTGCTGCAAGACTTTACTCGATGCCAGCCACCTGACTGATGTTTATATGGTTCAGGAATACTGTAAGTTGTGGCTGTCAAAAGAGATAGCAGAAAGACTACGGATACACCATTGTCCCTTCTTCCCCTTCAGTTGTTCAGAGTCTTGAGAGGAGTTTGGACCACTGGTAGTGGTTCATATAGAATAAGTGGAGAATGTTCCCAGATCTTTTAGACTTTGATATGGCAATAGACACATTTATGTTACAATAAATACTACAAGTGTGAACATACGATTCTACAGACTTGCCCAACAATTTCAATAATTATAAAAAGTCCCCTTTCAACACATGGTTCATGACAGAAGCAACTCTTTAGACAACATTTTAAAAGGACAGATGAGAAGGGGAACAATTTAGTCACGAATGCAGCGACTAATGAATAAAGAGCTGAAGAACAGCAACTAAAGAAGTGCTGAAATACTGAAGTTCACAAGATCAAAGAAAATCGCATGATTTAATAGGATAAAAGCATTTGTTAATTTCAGATGCCTGTCCTGTTCAGGCTAAATTAAAAAAAAAAGGAAAAAAAGAAACCCAAATACACAGAATACACACACATAAGTTACAGACAATTATCAGACAGATTTGTAAAACAAATATAGCTAAATACTGTAATAGCAACCTAATTCTGGTCTTCACTGGCTTACTCTAAAGAAAAGGCAATAAAACACAGGCATACACACAGTTCCCCTTCTCACAATACACTACATTAGTTATGCTGCTATTCAGTGACCTTCTTTCTTTTGTGAATATTACATGCCTAAAGAGATTATACTTATTGAGAGAAAGCATCTAAGTATCAGCATCTTTCTCACAAGAGAAACAGGTTTCAAGAACAAAAGCCCCTGTCAGAATCTGCAAGTAAAGTGAGCATGGTCAGTAACTTCAAGTCATATTTTCCCTAGAACGAGATTATATTCTCAGTACCTGTCTACTGCTACCACTACACTCTGTGAACTGGTCTCTCCCACAGACTCTTGAATACTCGCCATATACCGTTTATCAGCTCCACTTCCAACAAGGTTACCTGCAATAAAAGCCATTAAAAACCAGTATTTAGCATCATGAAATCATGAGTTTATATTAAACCCACTTTATACAAGTAGACAAAGAAAAGCGACTACTGCTTCCAATTAGCTTGTAATTTATATGGAGCAGATGGTGCCTTTGCTAGATCTGTGCCAGATTATAATAAAATTAAACATCCAGTAAGAAGTATGGGTTTTTCCCCCCCTTAGGGCACGGTGTTTTGACCATCATGTCTATTAAGATGATATAATGCAGTTAGTAAGATTGGAAATTATAAAATATTATTTTAAAATATGAACTCAAGTCAGATACAAGTAGTTAATGCTGGGCACAGTTCTGTTATATTCAGCATCATCGTCTACAGCATCAACTTCAGAGTATTTTCAAATTAAAAGGTCTCCTTGATGGTTTTCCCAAGATTCAGGCAACTTGCCTTTTCCCTCTAATTTACAGTTTAAAATCTAGGGTTTATTTCTTGCACATACTGCAGGAACAACATGAACTGGAACAGCAAGTCCAACATGAAGAGATAAGAAATTCCTTTGGAAAACCAATTATTGATCATTGAAACGTCTATTAATTCCTAAAGATAAATGGCTTATGCTTTTACTATTAAAAGCAGAGCATAAGAAGAAAGAACTGATAATACTGGTAACAAAATCATGACTAAGTATGGTAAAACAGTTTTGACAACAACATATTCCACCAAGCAAATCTGGAGGAGTTTTGTTAAATAGCTTAACTCAATTACAAAGTTAGAACAGATTTGGTAATTACGAATACATCTTCAAATACATGGTTCCATTTTTTTAGTTTCATCAATCCAACATAGCTTCCTGAAAGCAAGTAAACATATTTTAATATCCTAGAACATTGAGCTTTCTTAGCCATCATACTCTATTTATATGTGCATCTTTGTGAAGTCCAAGATTATTAAACTTACCTAATCCCAGGCCCATAAACTCTTCCCCTCCAGATGCATAGCCTTTAATGCTTCCTTCCCTTTCACGTCCAGAGCCAGATAAATACCGAGTTTTCACTCCAGTTCCTATAAGTTGCGCTAGTTCCAGCTGGCTAATACATTTCAAGATCTAAAACCAAAAATATTTAAACATTGTGTTTCTGGACACCATCATATTTTTATTCCTAACATATATTTATATGTAATATTTATAACCTTCCTAGGTTCTCTAACCTTTAAAACAACTTTGACAACGATAACAGTTTTGATGTAGCTGAAACATTACCAATACAACTGAAAATAAAGTTGAGTGATTCACTCAAGATCACCAGCTGCCACAAATCATTCCAATATGAGAAAAAATAAACAGTACCCAAAAATCTAACTTGGATCTCTAATTACTAGAGGAAACCTCTTTATTACTTCTCACAGAGTCAACTTCCAAAGCTATAAACAACTTGGGGTTGATCTTCTAGAGAGTTCATTGTCCCAGAGAGATTAAAAGACTGAATTATAGCAGTTACCACTTTGAGTAATGATGTTCCAATGTAGACAGTGAAAATGCCAAAATTGTGCCTTGCATCAGCACGAAACTGACTATCTCTTCCTTCTTACTGCCCCACTGCAACATCCCTTGGACTGGCACAAGCATTTGTGAGGGTATTATCTAAGTCAGGTCCAAGTAATTTGTCAACTAGAGTAACTTTTGGATCATATTATCATGTAGCCAAAGACTACTGCCAGAGAACATAATGCAGCAGAAATGCCCCTTTTAGCAGCAGCACAGATTTAGATCTGATTAAAGAGCTCCTGGAAAATATGATTTAAGAAAATACATACAAACCTGATAGCCTATCCTTACGTATCCCCCCACCAACTTATTTTAGCCCTAATTTTTCCTGTGATTGTGGTGTAAATGTTGCCAAATACTGCACAGACAAGTCTGGACCTGTGAGCTAGAACATTTTTGTTTACAGGAATGAGAATACAATGCTGTGAATACGAGAATACTGTGCTGAATTCCCTAAAATCAAATGAGATTTTAAAAATGGTTTTAATTCCACATCAAAAGCACCGACAAAAATTACAATATTGGTCACGCAGTGTCTATAGGG